CAATGCTATGAGATGGCATACACGATGCACGAGGTGACATGGCATACACAATGCGCTAACATACAACCTAGCATACGCAATGCTATGAAATGAGATGGCATACACAATGCAAAATGGACTTACACCAACATGAGTGGACCTCAGCCACACTCACATAAGAGGCCATTAGATGAAAATGAGACACTCGAGATGCGTGCACACGTGCACGCAAATCGAGGACCGATCCTAAGGCACCGAATGCCACTCTAACAAGACATGGCAAGGCATGGAACATGGTATGCAAACATGCAAATTTCGGCGCTAAGATATGACACAAAACAGCCCCGAAACATGGGAACATGACACCCGATGCATGGAATGGGACCCGAAATGCAAAACTAGGCATGCGCAATGGCTTATAGCTATACAAAGCATGCATTATTTGATCATAAAGCATGAAGATAGATTCAAGGCAGTCCTAAAATAATCATGTTTACAGTTATAAGCAAGACCAAACAATGAACAAAAATAGGGCTAAACCAATATGCAAAAATAGCCCTACATGTGAGATAAAGAAGAAAGTCAGGGTTGCTGGCCTCAAACACAGGAGGGTCCTTCAACAAAGTTGAAGAGAGGCCCAAAACATGATATTTTTTAGTTGGTGGCCAGACCCAAAACAGTGTACAAGTATGCTCAAAATGCTATGCAAAATAAGGCCAAAAAGAGAGCTATAACACAAAGTATAAAAAGGATGCCTCAAACAGTGAAAGACCCTTAATGAAACATGAATAGGGGGTCAAAATAAGGCCATTTATAGTTTGGACCAAAGCCCAAAAACAGAAGCACAAGAGGCTAACAAATCATGCAAAAAAAGGAGCCAAAAGAGAGATATAAAGGCAAGTGGCAGATGGAAGCCTCAAACAGTGATGAGCCCTTCAACAATGTTGAAGAAGGGCTCAAAATAAGCCACTTTACAGTTTATGGCATGCCTCAAAACAGTTTATACATAGGCCAAAAATACTACACAAGAAAATGGCATACAAGGGAGGTAATGAAACAAGTGCAACAAGGAGGCCTCAAACAGTGAGAGGCCCTTAAAAAAACATGAAAAATACCTCAAGATAATGCTCGTTCCAGTTAGGGTCGGAGCCCAAAACAGCAAGAAAGTATGGCTAATGTATAAATCAAGAAAAGGCTAGAAAAGGGAAAAAGGAAGCTCACCCTTGAAGACTATGCCTTTGACAGTCTTTTGGACCAAAATGCAGCACTCCTAGGCTCTGAAGAACAACCTCAAGCTGCTGGAATGGAGGATGGAAGGGTGAGGCTATGGGTTGGTGAAGAAATGGGTATAGGACTTGAGAGGTTTGAAGCTTGGAAGTGTAGAGGGAGAGAGATACAATATGTGAGCTCAAAGGTGATTTTTCTAACCCTTAAAACCAGAGCTGGAGGCTGGTTTATATAGGCAAAAAGAGGGGAAGAAAAGGGGGGGGAAAACAATTCAAGTTTCCCCCCAAAATGGCAACCCCCTCCTGGATACAAAATCTGGGAAAAAGGAATACAGATTTGTAATGTACCAACCCTGAGGATCATGGCCAGCCAGTTTTCTTGGGCTTAGGTGGCCGGTCGGCCACCCTCTATGGCCGGTCGGCCAAGGGTCAAAAAGGTCAATGAAGATTAGTGGCCGGCCATGCCATATTAGTGGCCTCCCATGTGTGCACAACACAACTAGGTGGTCAAAAACTGGAGAAAGTGAACCAGGAGAGAGAAAAGGTCATTTTTAGGAGGGGTTCAAAAGGGTCAAACACAATTACTAGCCGATCATATGATATTGGTGGCCTCTCAGGTGTGTACAACACAAATATGTGGTTTAGAGCTGGAAAAAGTGGCCTTAGGGTGGTCAACATTGGCTTTCAAGTGAGAAAAAACGGGCGACGGAGGGCGATGAAGGGATAAAGTTGGCTGACAGAACAATTACTGGCCTCCCACCCTTCTACGGCCTTTTTACCACTGAAACAGAGGTCCCTGCCAAAAATGAACCCAAACCGATGCAGAATGAAACAACTAAGATACAAGCACGCAG